GAGGAATTACTAACATGCACAGAAACGACATCCGTCACCCAACCTCTAGAAGCCGCCGGCTCTCAGCAGATGGAAGCCACGTTCACTCTGTCTATGGAGGCCGGTGTATTTAAAGCAAGAACGTGACACGAGGACTTATCACAAGCCGACGATTAAGTTCGATACTTCGAGAGTGGGAAATTTTAGACCGGGAAAATAAGCCAAGGATGGGCAAAAATATTAGAAGTAGACCTCTCGCCCGAAGGCATCGAGTTAAGGGGCATTCAGATCCCTGATTTGGATGGTAACACGACTGAAGAAGTGGATCAATTGTAGCAAATCGTATGGATGAATCAACATCTATTAATGGGAAAAGGCAACGCCTTACCACCAGCCGCTTGTGGTGCCATATGCGGCATCGACGTGGAAAATGCGAGACCGTTTGTACGTTGCGTGCTAAAGGTAGCCTCTCAGTTCAAAAAGAATTTGGTCGACCTAATCATGGGTCTACTATTATTTAACCGTCAACCTCGCCGTGGGCCACACCAGCAGTGATTATCGTGAAGAAGAATGGGGTAGACACCAGGTTGTGCATTGACTGCTGGTTAGTAAACGACTTGACTCAGCTCACCGTCTAATCCATGCCACAGATTAAGGAGCTACTGAAAGACTAAAATAGTGCGTTGAGGTACTCATCTATCGAAATGGCAAGTGGTTTTTGGGTGGATAGCATGATGGAGAGGGCAAGGTTAATTCCGAATTTTGTCACACTGTTGGGACTATTCGAATGGCTTTGGATGCCATTCGGATTCAAGAATGCACCACAGATCTACCAGCGACATTTAGACAAGGCGTTATACGGGTTCTTATGCATACCTCCAGGGACCAGTTGGGTGAGCCAGAATTTCTGTTTGCGTCGGGGAAACCAGACACAGAGTCATGTACCTCGCTGGATAATTAATCGTCGGTCGTACATAGATGACATCCTAATGCCCGCTAATTCTTGGGACGCGTTATGCGACAAGGTGTAACGGTTGTTGGACGTGTACGATTTATGAAATTTGTCAATCAATGCAGTCAAGAGTTCGTGGGGATGTCGAAGATGCGACTACCTCGGCCATCGGGTATCCATAGAAGAATTGGAAGCTTATCCCAAAAACCTCCAAACACTTGTCGACCTACATTTACCAACAACAAAAGTAAAAGCCATATAGTCGTTCATCGGAAGTCTAGATTAGTACATCTTATCACAAACTCTTTTATTTTTGCGTCGATACTATACGAGTTAAGAGCGGTGGACTCGCACGCGTGGCGATGCACATAATAGATGGTCACCATGCAGTGACCTCAAGTGTAGACAAAAAAATTGGCTTCGAGTTCGAATAGCCTTCGCTATGCTTAAGAATAATATTGCTACAGCGCCTATTTCGTGGTATTTCGACCCATCGAAAAAAAACTGTGATTATGGTCTACGCAGCGAATGGGCCATCTCAGCGTCGTTGGTGCAAGACGATTAAGGCCTATTTATGACAGTGACCTTCACGAGCCGGACACTCAAGGACAACGAGTTGAATTAAAGTACCTTGGACAAAGAAGTATTGGCGTTGTTGCGGCTATTGGAAACTTGTTGTACGATGCTGGTAACCCGACTTATCACGTACTAACGAGACGTTCGACGTTGGCCTGGTTGGTTAAATCCTCTGGATCACAGGGGCGTTAGGTAAAATTGGGCCACTCTCTTGTCCCAAAGATCATTATAGATTGTGAAGTGCAAGAAAGGCAAAGAACAGGTACCGGGGGCGTTACTATCCCCCCCCCCCGCGAGAGTGTAGACTCGATCCTATCGTCCATTGCACCCAAGAAACAGGCGAAGCAGATATTTGACCTATCTACGCCTACTGTGGAACTATCTAGATGTACTGAGCTTTGATGAATCGGCTCGTTTGAAACAAAAAGGAGAGGCTTGTTGCGCCGTCATATGGAGCCTGTCTACGTGGTAGGTAGTTAGAGCTGCCTATCCTAAGGAATCCACGGTGAGTGAGGACTAATGTAAACGTGTTGCTGGGTTTTGAGTTGTAAGAACCTTAAGAACGACGGCGACTAATCATCGGTGGAAACTCAAATCTGGCTGTCTTGCAGATGCGCGGAGAAATAGAGTGCAAGGCGTCAAAGCTGTCTCCATTTCGCGCGAGAGCTCTGAGCAAGCTCAATTCCTAGACTTCTTATTGGATACTCCACGTAAAGCGCGATCGGAATCAGAGCGCGGGATGGCTAGTGAATAATTGCATATACAAGGAGGGGTCGAGTCAGCATTGAGCGAAGAGTGGCCAGGGTTGGGAATTATTAACCGACTGCCAGAGCTGTTAGCCCTTAAATACGAGGATCTGACGATTAGAGTATTCGCAGTGATTCGATCAAGGCCAACCATCAAAATATCCGAAAAAAGATTCAAGGAGAGGGGTACAACAGCTGCGAGTAGAACCAATCCGGAAGACTCAAGAGGAGGAGAGCTGGATAATGGATCTGAAGGCATACTTAAAAGGGGAATAAGGCGGACGATCGGAAGATTCGGCACATTCATGCAGGAAATGGCCAGAGATTATGAGGCCAGCGAAGAATGATTGCTGGTATACTGTCCCGTCCACAAGACTGACGAGGGCAACCGAAAAATGACCAATCGACCAGTGATCCCCGAATCCCTCCAGAGCAACGTATTTCATCACTACCACGCTATCCTGGAGGGCGGTCATCACGGGTTGGTTGCACCTACTTTCATTTTCGCCAAAATTGTCATTGGAAAGGGTTGTTTTGAAGTGTACAGCGGTATGTGGGATTATGTGTGGATTGCGTGACGGGAAAAGGGGGGCCTACCCTGCAAGGGGTAACCATAGGTAACGTCGAGGCGACCTACGCTTTCCAATACATAGCAATGTACCATATCCCCTCGTTACCCAGGTTACTTAAGGAAACACTAAACTTTTAATTTGTGTCGTCTTATTCACTGAGCATGAGCTGGACAAGACAAGTGCTTCGCTAACTTCTCCGCGGTAGTTGAAGGGTATAAAGAATGTTTTTTTCGGCATTTTGGGGCAACTATGTGACCCGCCATGACCAGAACTCGGTTTCATGTCGGACTTCTTTCGATCATTTAATCGCATGGTGGGTCAGAGTCAACGGGAAACACTGGATTACCGACCCCAGGCGAACGAAACCGCGGAAAGAGTGGTCTAAACTCTTACAAGATCTATCAAGGTGTTTGTCTCAGTTGTGGCGCAGCAAGATTGGGACGAATGCGCAGGACGGCTAACGCTCGTGCTGAACACAGAATACAATAGAGTGCGGGAAGAGACACCATTTCATTTGGCTTACGGGTGGGGCGCTAGAACCATCCTGGAAGCAATGTTGCCAGTGGTGAACACCATATGCAAAGGGTCGGGAGCTCGAAGATGGATGTATCATATCCAAAGTCACTTCCATCGTGCGAGGAAACATGTGAACGAGTCTCTGGGGTCGGCCTGTCAATCCCGGGTGCTAGTTTAACAAGTGGTCGGTCACAAGATTAGGGCAGGTATATAAGTATGGCTCTACCTAGATCGTGTGAAGGAATTGTACGCCGAAAAAAAAGATCACCTTTCGCATGGTCCATTTCATTTTTGGAGTTGGTCGGTGCATATGCTGGACGGGGGGAAGTAAGATATACGAATAGAAGATTATTCCCGATCGTTCACATCTCTAAGCCAAAAAGGGTCAGGGAACTACCCGAATGCCCAGGTGAAGACCTGAAAGTGGACGAAGCCGACCTTATAGACTTTGAAGAATGATTGTTGCCGGAGGTAGCTGGAAGTGCAGCCTGGAGGAAGACGAATACGAAGCGGAAGCAATTATAAATAGCCGTGCAAGCGAGAAGACGCCTTGCGGTCGGCAGCGGCATAATTTCTAAACGTTGGAAAGGTCATGCGGACCCCCCCCCCTTTATGGTTCGACGAAGTAAATTTTAATTTGTGGATCTTTACTACGTGAGGTTAATTATAACGTGACAAACTATAACCGCTTCGAGGTGATGCAGAGTTACAAAGACTACTCATCGGGAAGGAGACAGGTGACCTGCTGGTCGGTCCGGTCGCCCGTGGGTCGGTCATGACCTCCGTGAGCGATCTAAAGTTTTAAAGCCAGCCAAGGATATGTTGAAGTCAACTCCGAGTTAATCGAAGTGAATAAGTGTATCTAAAGGTAAATACGTTGCTAAGCTGGAGTCGGCCACAACTTCACAATTAACCAAATCGATACAACTCTGCTTGAAAAAGGAAAGAAGTGGCTAATGAGAAACGAGCGAACAATGTGAACGTAAAAGTGTTTAAAGTATGATGTGTTTAGCGATTATTTCTACGAAGGAGGAACTAACTTGTTCTGAAGGCGAGCGACCTTGGTTCTGGGTGGGGCTCAGAGGTATATCTGTACTAGAAGATCCTAGGCTACATAGAGTTCGAGGGACAAAGAGCGGCCATCAGTCGACCGGGTTTGACTCCTCTTGACACTCAGGTACCCAAAAAAACACGAGGGCGAGGCAAGTGCCGAAGGAAGGGGTCCAGGAAAATGTCGATGTTACATCGATGGGCGGCCGTCCCTGCGAAGATCCGACCGACGATCTTACGCCTCGCCAAATACGCCCTCCTTCGCCGTTTATACCGGGCTTTGTAATACGAGGCGAAAAAGGAGCTTGTGCGGGCTTGATCTTTCGAGATCCGGAGGCAGTGGGTAGCCTTCCAGAGCGTCTGAGCATGCTCAGTTAAAATTCGTGTAAGCTTTAACCAGGTCAGCAAACCAGCCGACCACCTTGAACGACACAAGAGGAAGAGGGACCATGGTATCCAACCAAGGTCTAGCGGCCATCAGGCTCCTGACAATGGGCAGAGTGAACAGCAAAGATTTCCCTTTTACTGACTGATCGAGATTATCATCCGGCGGACCGAATTAACCCCAAGGCAACTCCATTTGCTCGGCCAAGTCACCCGGCGTCATGGTCACGAGCAACCAGGATTTACCAGACCGACAGATCTAGGCGACACTTCTCTGGCGGTGTAGACCCTCGCCTGAGTTGTGCCTAGAATCATGGCCTCTTGCGGGAGCAGGTACTCGCTAGCTGAAGAAACAGGACTACGGGCCGCCGGGTGGTCACCCTCCTTCTGAGGTGGCAGCTCGGTCTCGAACCCGGAAGAGCCGAACGTGATTTTGGTGAGAGACTGAGGGGTCGAAGCTTTTGACATAGGATCCGCAGAAGAAGGCAAAGGCGCATTCATCAGCTGACGACGGGACGAACGAGATCTCGCCGTGGCAGCCAGAATCGGTTTGCTGTCGGAATTGATACTTACGTCAGGAGATTTCAAGACGATCGGCGACGCAGCTTCCTCAGAACGTGGATACCGTCTTCCCCAGCATCGGAACGTTCGGCGCACTCACCTTTACCCGCTAATCTGGTTGGGGTGAGAAACGGTCTGCAGAGACCGCATACCGGCGTCGGGAGCAGGAATTTGATTATAAGTTTTCGAGTCTTGTGGCGTTCTTTGAGAGACACCAGGGCAACCCTTTAAAGTTTCGCCCGCGAAATCAGAGTAACTGGGCTCTGCCATGAGCAGGGACATCCGACTATGTCGGAGGTCGACTTGCTGTCATCAGTGGTCGGTCATCGCTATCTCATGCTACAGCTTCTCGCGAAGCTGCGACACGAGAGCGCTCGAGTCATTTGACTCCGTTTTCAAGCGCTCACATTGGAGTGAACAGCAATGTGGTGACAAAGCACCCTCACAGGCCTCGACACGGCGAGACAACGCCACTACATCAGCGGGTGGTACGCTTACAGGAGGACGACCGCCGATGGGGTCCTTCAGTTGGGCCGAACCGACATCAGCGGGACCGGCACGGACAGCAGGCACGACAGGGGGCAACTCCACAACAATGGTGACTGGAACCGACTCCACCGGTGACGAAATCGACCGCATGGTCACGGCGGCCTCTATTTTGTTCACCAACGATTACGAATGTGAAAAATTAAAGATGACAGACGATGCTGTGACTGCGTCCTCCTGGGCAGAGACCTCTGCTAAGGGTGCAGGTGGTGGCGAAGGAGTCAAGGCCGGACCCTTAGAAGGTAATTTAAATCCCGGTGAAGATTTGACGTTAAGCACACAGGTAAGATGAGGACAAGATATCGGCCACAAGAGCAGGTGATAATGACGGAACTGGCGTGGTGACGACATGCTTGTACTTGAACCGTCGTACGGTCGAGCAAGTGCAAGTGACGGCTGTGGTGAAGCGACCTATCGGAAATGGTGGACTCAAGAGTCGAGGAGCCGGATGGACATGAGACCTCGCGGCCACGAAAGGGATCAGAGACCTAGAAGTTACAAGGAAAAAGTGGCCGATGGGTTCAATCGTGACGATTGGTTATGGTACCACTAACGGGTCCACACCGACCGACGCTATTAGTTAAACGGAACCGATATGGATCGTTCTCAACCACTCGTCAGAGCCTAATGCACCAGGCTATTTGGAGCTACCTGTTGAAACGTCGATTTGACTCTATTCTAGACGACGCGATTACACGCAAGAATACCAAACGGCTTGTGTAACTTCTACCATCAGGGCGACTACGTAATGGTCCGAAGACAGAAGCGGTTTTGTGCACACACCAAGGAAGTGTCATATTAATCCTACCCCACAAACACTGTGCACGAAAACACACCTGCCACTATTGAAGAATGAGCGACGACACAGCGGCTATCGATTCGTCGCATCTTTCCGTTCTAGTATTTACTGCTTTATGGGGGAGTACACTATATCTGCCACCTATACTAATTGATGTTCAGTGGAGTTAAGATCAATATAAGGAATGTACTGGTTAAGAGATGGAGCAAATGCAGCATTCAGTTAGGCACGGAATTGTAACAACTTCTTTAACGCGATCTACCTTTCCACAAGAACCTTTAAAGAAAGACTAGTCAACCAATTACCCCTACTTAAGCCAGGGGTGTGTCATTTTAATTTATCACTTGCATGGAAACGGAAAAAGCGCTTCGCCCAGGTACGTCTTCGGTTTTACGTGCACCTATCAAATTTTTACTGCAGCTGGTTGATATGAACGGCGAAGCGTTTATTGATACAAATCAATTACTTTGAAGAGCAAATTTGCGGCTCCCACGTGATTCCCAGATAGTTTAAGGATTTTAAGGGAAGTGGCCAACCGCATTCATCATCGTCTGCCGTTTTCCAATCGCTTACATTATCTTGAGTCGCTGCCGAAGATATTATTATGACGTATATGCGAGGAAGGAAGACTTCGTTTGTGGACCACCAAAATAGTATATTTATGATTGTGCAGAGGATGTGATTATGGGATTCGCCAAAAGCTCCTAGAAATTACAGTAACTTATAAATAACTCACGGTTGTGTTATACACCAACATCATTCACTGGCAACGGAAAAAAACAGGACTATCTTCGACTACAATATAGAAGCGCATATGAGTGAAGAAAAATTTCCTCTGCGATATAACTAAACGTAGTATAAATTAATCGAACATAGCATTTAAATCACACAATCACACTTAGATTTGAAGGTACGTGCCATAAAATAATAAAAAGGTGGCGCATTAGAGTGATTAGCACACTTCTCGATGTCTAGAAACCGTTGTTTTTAAAGCAGTTTCGAATGCATCAAAAGGGATGATTAGCAAGGCGATGTCAAAGCAGAGGCTGGAGAAATCCAAATTTGGAAAGGTGTTTCCAAGTTGCATCGGAGATAAAACATTGGGCTACGTTACGTACAATTTTCTGGGATACACAGCACCCCCCTGCGCCCACGTCACATGTAGACATAAGAACTTACAACAGCCCAATGCAGGTGGTGCATTAATGAAGTTATGGTAGCTGGAATTTTAAAGATGACCCGAACTGACCAGACTAACTTTTTTTTCATGCTGCAGCCCTATTGTAACAAAAGAAAGAGAGCTCGCAAACGGTCGCACCCCAAAAATCTTACGAGCATTAACCTATAAAATTTGATCGAATGGAGGGGCAGGTCAGTGTTAACATATGCAGTCGTTGTCGTGGAACTCGTCACTACAGGCGATGGAGTCACTCATCCGGTTTAAAAAATAGGCGGAATATATCGAAGATCTGTTTCCATGAGTATATGAAACACACCGGTGCCGTTGGGCGATTTGTTTTGTAACACGCTTCTGTCTTCGCGAGTACCACTTGTTAAAATGTGCGGAAAGCCCAAATCAGTGTTTGTATCCACGCCTCTTCATTTTTCCTTGCAGATCTGTCGGTCTGGTGAAGCCTCCTCCTGCCCTTTAGCCGAGAGACTTTCATCAGCGTCGTTGCCATTAAATTTCCTTTACGCGTTGCCGAAGTCGTTTTTTGGTATCATAAAGCTGCACGAAGGGCAGTCGTGAAGTTTTCTAAAATAAATTCACGTTCGACGAATGTGCAGCTGTGTTTGCTAGAAACACAACGGTTGGCACGTGTCGTCTTCTAATGCGATCGTGAGCGATCGTTTGCCCTCGGATACTGAAGACTTGCAATGTGGCAGAATTTCCTGAGTCGAGGCGGTATATGTCACCTACTTAGTCTAGCTAGCAATTTTTGTAAATTATTTCTCTTTAATGATTTTTTACAATCAATACTAACAAAAATGCATAATCTTAAGTTTTTGTAAAGACCTCCCCTTTACTCTTCTCGGATGCGTTTCTACAACAATGCAATGATAGTAAAGGCAAAAATAAGTGGATTTTTAAAATCTTTGCAGCAATATACTATTTCGAGTGCGTGCTGTCTTTACGTATTAACGAAAAACTCGGACATAAACTCTACATCTGATGCGGTCCCTTGTAGCAAAACGTAACCTGATTAAATGTGTGTTTTTCATCACATAGTGGAAGCCGTACGATTCCTTTTTCATTTTATGGCAACAAACGTAATCACGAAATTATTCCAAAATTAAAGCGCAACTAGGTTGAACAAAATCATTGCTGAACATATTTAACCTGGGTTTTACTTCATCCTTAAAAGTTAGCATTTTACCAAAAGTGAGTTTGATCGTTAAGATAAGGTACATGATTAAACTATTTGCAAGAATGAGGCTTACGAAAGCCGCATTAGAAATTTCGGATGCGAGTTATATGCTAGAGCGTAAAAGTCGGAACACTTAGCAGGGCCAGTTTGTACTAAAAAAGGTCAATATTGCGACATGGGATATTATAACACTCCTAATTAGAGTGTTTAAAGATTGAAGATGGTAAATGAAATGAATCTTTTTACTTAAAAAGATGGTTGAAAAGAAAGAGAAGACAGCACAATATTTTTAATGGTAGTATCTATATTTAATTCACGGAGTCAAATTAAGGTAAGAGCGTTTAGGGAGCTAGAGGCCGAGAAGCTTCATTTCAATACATGCTTTTTGCCATCCGTGTCGGTGTTGTACGATGTCTACAATTTTTCGGTGCGCAAGTGTTATATAAAGCGTAATGCCACAAATTTAGCTCAAATAATTATGCGATATGGTCTGAAGACAATGTGAAACGGGGTACCAACCTCTTGAACCTTTACATTACTAACGGCTTGTTGAAACGCAAATTAGAATAAATTCTCGTTTCTTCACGTCCACATACGTGCACCAGAAAATTCCACAAAAGCAAACGGGCTTAGTAAAGGTAAAGTAAAACATAATGTAATCTGGTAGAGAGGGTTGCCAAACCTGTGAGATTTCAATCCACTCACTATGCCGGACTTCCGACTTTTGGAGGGGGTACCCCGATGCCGCTTGTGGACCTTGACTCACCTCATGTATCCGTCGGCTTGCGGGTCTCACTCTTTGGAGGATTTAGTGATGATTGTAGACTTCGGCCTTGATGGAGGTCGATCTGGGGGGGGGCAGATCGCATTTGCTTCAGTCGGGGTCCAATCGAGGCGGCCACTCGATCGGCTTGGTCGAGAGTGGTCTTATAACCAGTTATCTCAGGTGCTGGTGGCGCCTGGCCTTTACTTGTCTCAAGGGCGTTAACCACCTGGCCTTTATGTGTCTTCTCCCTTACCACTAGGGTACGGAGACCGCTTCCTACAGCGGGCCTGAGTTGGGGGGTGCTACTCTACGAACCTACGGGCCAACGTACTCCCTGGGGTTCTACTTACGCTTGCGTCTTACTGACCACTGTCTATTCGACGGGTGAGCCAAACAGATCTCTGACCCGGAACAGGTCGGTAGACTTACAAGTTTCTTAGAGCACGACACGTCGTGCTAATTAAATCGCAAATTGAGTAGCATTTAATGTTACCCTATCCTTCGAACTCATTTACTTTATTTTTGCCTTGCACCTGGGTTCGCAATGATAATGGCTAGGAGCCACCAGACCTTGAGGGACCGAGTCGACCTACGAGTGACCAAATCGGCCGATGGGTGACCAGACCGACCGACGAGTGGCTAAGAACGATCCATATCGGTTCCGTTTAATTAATAGCGTCGGTCGGTGTGGCCCCGTTAGTGGTACCATAACCAATCGTCACGATTGAACCCATCGGCCACTTTTTCCTTGTAACTTCTAGGTCTCTGATCCCTTTCGTGGCCGCGAGGTCTCATGTCCATCCGGCTCCTCGACTCTTGAGTCCATCGTTACGAAAACTCGCTTCATACAGCAACATCGTGATCTTCTCGTAGTTAAATCCTGAATCAACTTCTTATAACTATGTCTCCAAACAAGCTCTAATCGTAATTTTCGTCACTTATCGCGTCTTCTGACGTGGCCCGTTGTTCTTGACTGGTATCTTATATCTGTATCAACACACGAGTAATGCACTACTATGAAAATGCTTTACTCCGGACCATATTTTGGGCCGACCCGGCAGACCCAGACATTTAACTCAAGGTCTCTCTTAAAAAAAATTAAAAATGCTAATGCCACCGGACCAATACTAACCTTTTTATTGCTCATGTGGGGTGCTAC